GGTTTTCCACTGTAGACACGTTGTTGTATTATAGTGAAAGCCATTTTTTGCTCTTGGTTAAGTGTGTTAATAGCATTTAAGTCTTCTTGAGCAACGACAATATTTTTCTCTACTGTTATTTCTCTATTGTTTTCTTCAGCGTTAATAAGTATATCCGGAGGCAATATATTGAATGTATGGATATTTTTGCCCATCGATTCTAGAAAACCATTTATTTGTTCTAAGACCTTTCTTTTAATATCTGTTTTACTTAAATTTGAATGTCTTACAAAATCTTCTGACATGGCTTCTTCAAATTTTGTAAATAAATCGGCTGGTTTGTTAGGACATGAATAAACAAGTAGATTTGCAAAAAGTCGCCTCATTTCATATGGCATTTTGAAAAGCGATGCTTCTTCTAGACATAGTTCTTGGGTGTTATCATCTTGAAGCAAACCTCTTGCAAGCGCGGCTTCATGATATGATTTAGCAATTATGTTATTAAACGACTTTATGTGTTTATAAGATTTTGGGCCTCTAACATGCAGGAGAAGAAGTTTAAGGTAATATCGTTCGCCTTCGTTTGGGTGTACAGTTACTATTCTAGCTATAGAATCTTTCCCTTCTCTTATTTTCCATTTCTTTTCATCTGTCAGCCACACAAAATATTCTGGAAATTCTATGTATGTCAAATTTAATTTTTTGGCAAACGGGTCAGTTCTATTCATGAAAAAAAATTCTGTTAACATAGTTTTATGGTTCCTTGGATTATTTGCAATTCTGTCTAGTCTGTCTCTTTTTCTGTAACTGATCGTTTGATAATTTTCTAAATGAACTGGTAAATTAATAACAGCAGGTTTTGTCTCGCTTATTGGGAATCTATATATCCTCCATGCAGCTTCAGGTGGAGAAACCCAACGTGCTGTTCTAAATTGTTCTATCTCATCAATTTGTGCATTTTGGTTGGATGTATCTACATGAAATGCAATTTTGTCATGGCCTTTACAAATATACTTATAAATATATTTAACAGCTCGTATAGAAGAACAAATTTCCACATTTATATGACAATTAAACTTTGCAAGTAAGTACGGGCTATAAGGCACGACCCATCTGTTGTCTAGTTTGCAACCTCTTACTTTTATCTTCACATTATTATCTCGCCTTTGATATTTTGGATATGAATTATTACCTTGCATGGTGAACTCTGAAAATTGTTTTGGATAATTAAATCGACACTTATTTTTTGCATTCATGCACGAATTATTCGGATTTAAATCTCCACAAGGCCCATGCATCATGTGTTTTTTGACCATGTTATATAAATGTGTATTTAATCTTTTGTCTGGTATTTCAGCACTAACAATTTTATCAAATTCTTCAGGCTTATACAATTTATTCTTGTTTGCTAGTATAATTAACATGTGAGCATGAGGTAAGCCTCTTTTTTGAAATTCTATTACGTATGTGTATGCCACTACTTCTCCGAAAATATTTATTTTTAGAATATCCTTTTTTAGTTCTTCAAATTTTGCACGGAATACTCTAGCGACTAAGTCAGGCCTATTTTGTGATTCTTCGTTTTCTTTTAAAAAATCTTTTATCTCAGGCCAATTGGGATTACATGTCATAGTCAAAAAAATGTCAGGTTTCCCAAACCTCTGCACTAATGTCATTGCATCTAAATATCGCTTTTTCATATTCCTTGGTCCTCCTATAAAACTTGCTGGTAAAAAGACTCGTTGGCCAATTTTTGATGCATTTGTTTCTCCTGCTGCTAAACAGTCTTGTATGCCTTGCAAGAATTCTTGTCTAATTTCAGCTTGTTGTTTTCTAAAAAAGTCCAACCTTTGAGATTCAATCTTAACATACATATCAACTATATATTGCTGAAATAATCTGCCAAAATTTAGTAAGCACGACTCATCATTTTCTCTTATTTGTAATTTGTATGCATAATAATCCCTCATTGAAACAAAATTCCGGCCTGTTGTTGACCCAATGTTTGCTGGAAAAACAAGGTATTATATATTAGTAGTTATTATACATGAGAAGAGTATTTTATTTGGGGAAAAAAAAATTGAAACCTATCAATATAGGAAAATGTTAGTGGTGCAAAGTGGTTTAGATAATAACTCACCTTCCTCTGCGTCAATTAATTCTTCTGCTGATTTTATATCACAAGGTGCAGTTGAACGCAATTTAGCTTTTGGTTGTGTTTTTTTTTTTTTGGAAGCCGAACTCATTTTTTCTATGCCTCGGTGCCAACCAAGCTCACCAAATGGAAAAAGCAATGGGTATTGCAGTGGATCATAACAGCCAAAATAATATTGTATCCTATGGGACAAACCAGTACGATTATACACTCTTATGTTTCTCTCGGACGGTTCTTCGTTATCTTCGTTTTCTACCCATATGGCGGCTACTTGAGAGGCTTCTGGCTTATTATAAACTCTTTGGTCAATTTTTGGAATAGTCTTTAATATTATTTCATATTCTTCTAAAGACCCAAGCTCATTAAGGCTTCTGAAAAATTGCGCATATGGATTTTCTTTTAAAACGTTCACAATTTTTTCAATGATGGATTCTGTTAATCTAGGGCAAACTTTTAATCTATTTGCAATTTCATTCTCAGTGTCATGAAAATATAATTGTAAATTTTTAGACGCCTCTAGATCATCTAAGAAGTGATACACCTGGCCTTGTATTTTGAATGTATAAATCCCTTTATTGCGCTTACTTAAATTTTCATCACATTTTACCCCCAAAGATGTGAATGCAAATTGGTTGTTAATGGTCCTTAAACAATCTCGAAAGAGTTTAGACTCCTCGTTTGTGGAGAAGAGTAAATCTTTTAAGACATTTGGCAAGGAGTTATTGGCTAATATAATTTGACCGTTTGAGCAGCAAAATGAATTTGTTTCATACGGCAATTTAATAGCATTACAATAGTAACATTTTTTGGGGTTTGGAAAAATAAAAGGCTCACCTGCTATGTCATCCAAAATATTATGACAAACAACACTGGTTAGACCTACGACAAATGTAGATGTTTTTAGCTGAACTTGTGTGCATTGTAGATAATGATTTATCTAAGGAAATTAGTAGTGATTGTCAGGATTTAATTTACCTTTTTTTTTTGCCTGTTTATTACCAGTGTTACCTGTTAAATATATGTTGGCATTAATTAAAAGTGAACATATGCATGGTTGAAGGAAAATAATATAAAGGAAATTACGACGGGTAACAAAATTGAAATTAAGTGATTACCTGTAGGATGAACTAAATGTGGGATATTCTCTGCAGGGTTCTGTAAGCATAGAATATTCTGTGTATATAAAGATGAGGTCGGAGGATTATTTGGCCTATTTAAAACAAGTGGAATTTGTGAGGTTGGTAAGTCTGTAACATAATAGCCGCTTAGTTGATTATTAGTAGGGATATTTCTGTTAAAGGGTTGAGTTTGATACGTAAACGTATTTTTTAAATGTGATGTTTGTCCTTTTTTTTTAGCCTTCCACTTTTCAATAGCATTTTGTTTATACGTTCTATTAGGAAGCTCCAGTGTACAATCAACGGTCTGAAAAACTGGACTTTTTGTTGAGGTGGATATTTTTGAATGATTTGTTCTTTCTATATAACTTAAAGGCGGTTCAGGCCTATTCATTCCATCTTTATGCATATTTTTCTTTAGCTTAAAAGGAATTAAATCTGTAGTCTTGTTTATGGAGGCTTGTTCCAGCGGACCTGCATAGAAGGTTTCGCTTCCCATATTTTTTATTGTCAATATGTTGTTTGTTTTATTTTTTTTGTTTTTCCATTTTTCAATGGCATATTGACGATACCTTTTCTTAGATGCTGGGACTACGTTACTGTACTGGAAATTTTCTGACAATGGTTTACTCTTATCAGACATTAGTTGAACAAACTTGTTTAGATTTAAAATAGGCTAATTGCAGCTCTAGTAATTTAGGCCAGACGAAAACGCAGAGATAAAGATGCACGAATACTGAGCAAATTAATAAATATGCACAAAGTACCAGTCAAAACACAAATATATTATTTTATGTAATAAATAAGAACCTACGAATAAAATCAAAAGCACAAGATGATTAAGTTGATGCAAAACAAACAAGGAACATTCAAGAAGGTAACGGTAAGGACATAGGTGAACAGGCTGGTCAAGGAAGAGATAACAGTCAAGAGGTAATTTAGTAGTAGAAAGCTAACCTGACAGCGATTAGTAATTACTTTATTATCTTTCCTGATCTTGGAAGAATTCGGACAGCAGCTCTAGTGAATATTAAGTGACCTACATATGTATATTTATAAATAAATAATCAACAGGTGAAAAAAATTACCTCATAAACGGATAGAGCCAAATTAAACGCATATATTGATGAAAAAAGTAGGCAGTTAACTAACATGTTTACAAAACTATGAATGTAAGTCCAAATATTTTATAACAACTATATTTTTTTGTTCATTTTTGTAAAAGCACTGAAATTTAACGTTAAACAATAAAGACATGTTTTTCCATTACCTTATACATAAACCTTTCCAGTGAATCAACAGGCGCGACAACTTTGGAGATATTAAACGCAGCAGTACCTTTTTGAGACATTAGAAAATAGAAAATGAGAATCACAATCCCAGAATGTCAGAGTGAAATTGTTTTTGTAAAAGGGAACAAAAAATTAAAGAGCAAGAAAAACTCAATCTCTTTCACAAACAACATATTACACTGAACTATATTTTCCAAAACTGAAGCAAAAAACATATCCAATAAAACACACAACAATAAGGACAAACACAACATATATAGGTCCTATTCATTTCATAGCCTTAGATACTGTAAAATTTTATGTTCATAAAAGCCCTATACACTTCATCTCTGTGCAAACGAAAACAACATATTTTACTTTGTTTTTTGAAGAATGCACAAACACAACAATTAGATGCCCAGAGAAAGCAAAAACTCCAAATACAGATGAACAAAAAATCTGATATTCTTTTACCTCAACAAACCTCTATTTGAAGAGCAAGTTTCCTTTTTTCTCTAGAAAGTAAAATGGTGATGTTTTTATATATAATATCAGATTTACCCAAAGAAATGCCTAATATTATATTGTTAGTGGAGCCCTATCAAATCAAAACCCTTTATAAAAATATTAAGCTGCCTGAAACAAAACACATTAGACGCAAATTACACCTAGAAAAGTCAAGAAAAATGAGTAAAAAGCTGCAAGCAAATATTTGTAATGACATAAAACAGATACTTTGTAATAATTGGTATCAATTACCCAAGAATGGACGGCTACATACACTACAGTACATGAACCCAATAGCACAACCA